TGTGTACCAGAGGTCACCTTCAAAAAGAATAGCCCAAGGTTTGTCTATTCCAGCAGTTTCCTGTGAACAAGACGGCTTTCCCCTATTATTAATCCCAGTAATCTGTTGTTCCAAAAGATACATATTTACTCAAAAGGAAGACATAAGAGAAGCCAATGTTGGATCAGGACAATGGCCCATGTAGTCCAACACTCTGTCACACACTGGCCAAAAATACCAGGTGACATCAGGAGGTCCAGCAGTGGGGCCGGAACACTAGAAGCCCTCCCACTCTGAATGTAACAACTCTGCATGTAAAATGATCAATCCAGTTAAGCTTTCTGTGTGTAACATTTCTTATCAGACATAACTGTAATTTGAATGCAAATGTAAGATGACCCCTTCTCTCTTTTGGATGGTATATCTGGGGGGAAAACTAGTCTTGCATTTGAGTAAATACTGTCCTGCCACTGACAATCTGGAGAAAGGTGCGATTACTAGCTGTTCCAAGAAGGAAGCAGTCTTGTGCAGTTCTCTACTTGTGTTGTTGGCTTGCATTTGGCGCCTGGATGGGTACTTGGCAGTTCTCATTCTCTGGGTTCCCTTTCAGCTTATGCTTTTCCTCTGTAAACAGCAGTTATTTGACAGTGCGCAGGTTTGTCACAGTGCTGTTGATCTAGTGTTTTATCAGGCTCCTGTGGGGATGTTGTCATGTCTAGTGCCAGGATAGGGACAGATTCTTGTGGCATGTTTTTTTAATCCAATTACCTTTTTTGTCCCTCCCCTGCAGCCAGAACGCTTTGTCAATCTTGGGATTGAGCCCCCCAAAGGAGTGCTTCTGTTTGGTCCTCCCGGGACAGGAAAAACCCTCTGTGCTCGTGCTGTTGCTAATCGGACCGATGCCTGTTTCATCCGTGTAATTGGATCTGAACTTGTGCAGAAATATGTGGGAGAGGTAATTAAACAGGAACACATTTCAGGTTTGGAGGGGGAGATGAAACATTTTCACAAGAACTGCATAAACCGTACTTAGCTCTGTCTGTAAGATATCTTTTTGTGTTGTATTTACATGCAGCTAATTGCATAAACATAAGGAGTGTGTTTCTTATTTGGATGGTCTTTGTGATGCTGCTGTTCTGTACTGTGGCTGAAACCTGATCCTGTTGACCTATTTTCTTGCTCTCTGGTTGTCCTGGTGTTTGGAATCAGAACCTTATGTGCGAGTTGTGTGTGTGGTGTAATAGGCTATCAGCATGACTTGGTAGTGGCTGCTGTCGGTTATGACATAGGCTGAATGCAACTGGAATGATTTCACACATGGATGTGTATATTTGGGATCTTGAGTGTTTTGGGAAGTTTCAGCGTTTGCCTTCAGAATCTAACCCCCATGGTATTTGGTTTATAGTAAGAGAAAATTGTTTATCTTTCTCTGTGTATAAAACAGGGTGCTCGAATGGTTCGGGAGCTCTTTGAAATGGCCAGGACAAAAAAAGCTTGCCTTATCTTCTTTGATGAAATTGATGCCATTGGAGGTTTGTATCCACAGATGTCTTATGTTCATTCAAAATATGGTATAATATTAAATGCAAACCTCCATTTTTTTCATAATACAGAAAAAAACCCAGTGTTATCTGCTTTCTTCCCTATGTTATCATTATTCTGGAATGCTTCTCTCCCCACCTGCTGTTCTCGTAAAGGCTGTTTTCACATTGTTTATTTGCTCCAAGTTCAGTGGTAGAGGGAAATGGGCTTTTTCCTGCTTTCCCACAGCATCGAGGTCCATTTGTGTACCTTCCAGGGTTTCCACAGTTTTTCTCCAATCTTTCTCAAACCTACTTTACTACAAGGTTTTGAGAAACACCATGGTAAAGCCTGGGTAGCCGCTGTGAATTTGGGAAACTTTGGACTTTCTCAGTCCTGTGGATACAGCAGCCATTTTCCTCCCCCTGCCACTGGGGAACTTTTTGTTTTGTTTTTTAATTTACAATTGAATAGTGTTACACCAGTCTGTATCAGATGTTCTGATTTTCCAGTCTTAATGTTTTAAAATAGTCACTACTATCCCCTTTCATGGTGAAAATGTAAGAGAAAAGGCCTGTCTCTACAATGAAAGGGGCTAGAGATTTATCCTCATTCTCAGAAAGGGTACAAAAATCATATTGTGTGCCTGTACACTATAGGAATAACACGTTATTGCAACAGGTTGTTCAGTTCTTTATTAGATGCTATCAGAAGGTAATTCTGGGGTATAGTCCTATATGGGGTTGTGCCACTTGAGAAGGTACAGGGGCCTGGGACTGCTCCTTTGAACACTTCACATGGGATGCTCCCTCCCCATGTAGAATCAGCAGAATGGGGAGAGAGCCACACAAAAGGAGGTGGGGCGCAAGTTGTCTCTTTGGCTCAGTGATGCCAGCCTGGCATGTTCAGGAAACAAGAAAATCTAGTTGATGTGCAGTTACAGAACATCTTCTTTGTAAGATACTTTTATTTTGTTTCCTTTGAGGTCACAGTTTTGTTGTCTATAGGCAACACTGGCCTTCACCAGCTTTTGATGAAGGTGGCTTAGAACTGCATCTTGCTGAATGGCTTCTCCTTTCAGTGACACTTAACATTTTGTACCCTCTTCTTAGGAGCTCGTTTTGATGATGGGGCTGGAGGAGACAACGAAGTCCAGCGCACAATGCTAGAATTAATAAACCAGCTGGATGGCTTTGATCCAAGAGGCAATATTAAAGTGCTGATGGCAACCAACAGACCTGATACCTTAGATCCGGCATTGATGAGGCCGGGAAGGCTGGACAGGAAGATTGAGTTCAGTCTACCTGATCTCGAGGTTAGAATAGTTTTGCTGTTGTACTAAGCAAATGTTGTTCCTTTTTATTAGGACTGGACACTGAAAATAACTGTTTTTGAATGCAAACAAACATTAAAAAGAATAGCGAGCCGTGTACAACCATTCTGACTTTCATCAAAGATTTGCTTCAGATCTGTTTGTGGAGCAATTCACTTTATTCTTAAGCTCCCACCCCTAACCTGAATTTCCTTTTTTAGGGACGAACTCACATATTCAAGATACATGCTCGGTCAATGAGTGTCGAAAGAGACATACGGTTTGAGTTGCTGGCGCGACTGTGTCCAAATAGCACTGGTAAGTCATAGGCTATATCTTCCTCTGTTTTGTACTGGGGGATCACTCAAAATTGCTACTAAATCCACTTCCCTTTCCTTTAAAAGGTGCTGAAATCCGGAGTGTCTGCACAGAGGCAGGTATGTTTGCTATCAGAGCACGAAGAAAAATTGCCACTGAAAAAGACTTCTTGGAGGCTGTGAACAAAGTCATTAAATCATATGCCAAGTTCAGTGCTACCCCCCGCTACATGACTTACAACTGATCCTGGGCAACTCAAAAGGTCTCTCTGATTTGTTATCTTCATACAAAGTAATACCCTGAGTAAGAATTTGATGTATGTGCAACATAACTTAATTGAGTGTGTAGCAATAAATGGAACATTCCAAGCTACAGGGTGTAGGTTATTTACTGATTCAGCTTTATTGTTGTCAGTAAAGGATGGTGGTGCTGTTCTTAGTGTTAATTTCCAGAGGGATGTGCACTTAAAATCCTTCCCAGTTCTCTGCCTGTGATTGAAGTTGTTTGGCAGAATATGATAATCTCACTTGCTTTCTGGAGTGTGCCTTCAGGTTGCAACCAACCATGGGGTTTTCAAGACAGAAAATGAGTAGAGGTGGTTTGCAGCTGCCTTCCGTGGCCAGCCCTGCTTAGCTTCCAAAATTCAGCTAGTTAGGCTGCTCTTACTATGAGTAAGTAAAGGTAAAGGTTTCCCTTGCTCAAAAGCTAGTAGAATCTGACTATAGGCGGCGGTGCTCATCTCAGTTTCCAAGCTGAAGAGCCAGCACTGTCTGAAGACATTTCTGTGGTCATATGGCCAGCATGACTAAACGCTGAGGCATATGAAACACTGTTACCTTCCCACCAAAGCGGTACCTATTTATCTACTTGCAGTTTCTTGCTTTCAAACTGCTAAATTGGCAGGAGCTGGGGCCGGAGATGGGAGCTCACTCCATTTCTCAGCACTAGGGTCTCAAACTGCCAAACTACAGACCTTCCAGTCTGCAGCTCAGTGTCTTAACCTCTGAGCCACTGCGGTCACCTTACTATGAGTAGGTAGGGATAATTCCAGTTAGCTGGTAGGCAATGTTCCCTCTAAGCCGTGGAGTCTTGTGAGCAAAAATTCTACTTTGTGAGCTACTGGGCATTAAAGTTGTGAGCGAGCGATTTGGCTACTGCATAAATTAGTTTGCTCTGGAGCTATCCTTCCTGAGCTACGGCAAAAATGTGTGAGCCGGAGGCTAGATAACTGTGAGCTAGCTCACACTAACTCAGTTTAGAGGGAACACTGCTGGTAGAATATCCCCTGCAGTAGGAGAGAGCCCCTCAGCAGCACATGGCAACACAGCTCTGGTCCTTTTTCCCCTTCTGTGGCCCATTCTCACCCCCTCAGGTGCTCCAGAGCCAGTTTGGTGTAGTGATTAAGAGCGATGGACTTTAATTTAAGCGTTGGCTGGGGAACACAGTGCACATCATGCAGAGAAGGCTCACTGCATGACCAAAAGAGGGTCCCTATCCTTCCTCTTCCTCATGTAGCTAACAAGAGTAGACAGGGGAATTAACAGTACAGACTCCCAGTGTCTTTTCAGCCTGCTCTTTTGAATCTGAGCTGCAGACCAGAGCGTAGCCCGCAGGTCTGCATGCCCCACCCATCCTGCAATGGGGCTGACATCTGGGTGCAGGCTGCAGGAATGTGCTTGAGAGGTGACAGCCAGTGCTGGGCCTGATTGCCCAAAGTCACTGTGGCTCTAAAAGGTCACTGACAAGTACTGGAGACACTCCCCTTCTTACCTCTGTTGTGGGTAGAAGAAAGGAAAAGCCCTGTCTATAGAGTTTCTGAAGACTCCACTGATCCCTACGAAGCATGTACTTTAAACTGGGGAAATGATTATTTTGTGTGATTTGAGAGACTGAGCTCCCACTGAAGTTCCAGGGGCCTTGGGGATTTTCTCTGCACTTCTGAGACCCTCTGACTCCTTGAGGATCACTTCCAAATGCATACTGTCAGTATGTACAAGGGTGTACATATAAGAAGCTCAAGGAAATGCAACCCTTAATGTTTGCAGTAGCTCATGTAAGGAAAAAGTTTTAATTTCAAGAACACACACACAAGCTTTAGCAGCAATAAATGTCAAAATGTAATGTCTACATTTTTATGTCAGGTTTTTACACATTGACAATACTTGGGGGGAACAAGTTCATTTGTTAAAAATGTTGCATTGCAAAATGGTACCAGACAAAATATACTATGTCGTCTAAGACATACAAATATGAGATGATCTGTGGTATAAAATAGGTTTGGATCCTCAGGAACGGTAAGCGTGAAGATACAAATTGGCAAAAATCCCTCATACTCTCCCCAAATGGGGTAGCACCTTAGGATCCAAACCATCTAATATTATTTGTTCATGACACATTCTGGCCAGTTCCAGAAATCTGTCTGGTAGTAACTCGCTTCTCTTACAGATGACTATAAAACAGAAAATAGTGCCTCCAACTCTGTATCAAGAGGTTTCACTTACGTAACAAACATACTACACAGCATGTGTGTTAGCTGAAAATAAACTGAGTGACCTACTTTCCCATTTTTATTTTGAAGCTGCAGCTCTTCAGAGCTACATCACAAGTTATTTTATAAGGACGGTTCAAATTGTCAGTGGTGAAACTGTTACAGAGGGTTCTGAATACAGAGAGTTCTCTTTTATCTGAACAGCATGCCACCCTAGAACAGCCCATTGGTAACACTAGCTGCCTTCACATAGGGTGAGAAAAGCTGCCTAATGTCACACCATTTTGTATTCCTGCAATATGTGGCAAAACCGCAGTCCGATAATACATAGCTGGAAAAGAACTCTTGCAAGAATATTGGGAAATTGCATCATCTTGCTTTCACTGGAAGAAAGTTACACACATGCTTCAGTCTCCCATGGCAGTCACCAAGACATAAAAGTGCTTTTATGTTATACCTGGCTCAAGTTGGCCAACCTGCCAAGCTCTTGTTCCTACAATGAAGTTTGCCTTTGGACAAGCTGCCATATTATAACACGGGTGGTAACTACTGCAACAGCACTAGTAGCACTTCAGGAGGTCTAACAAAAACTGACTTTACAATACACATGTCCTGCCATCAGCTACCTGGCCTGCATTTTAGCACATTCTGTATCTTTGTTGGTGACTGTACATTGCTTCTCAGCGAGACTGGCACCTGTCACTATCTCGTGTTTATTTTAATTAAAACATTTCTGTGCTGCCTTTCCACCCGAACAGGCTCCCCAGAGCAGTAACCATTAAAATGTCAATGTTCCCTTCAATGCAAGTCTGCTTCAGTGCAATCATGGCACCTTAATGTATGAGAAAGTGATCCATTGTCATCTACTAATAAGCGTAGGTCACTGAGGAAAAACTTGATTCAGTTGAAGAAGGGCAGTATGCAAATGGTACAAAGTAACATTGAACATTAAGACTTTTTCAGCTGCAGGAAGGTGCTCTTTAAAAAACAACAACAATGAATGAAATGGCATCTGGTTGGGAAATTCTTTAAAATGTTTAGACAATGCAAGTCACAGATGTTTGGTATGATAATGCCTTTTGGTAACAATGGCAGACAGGCATCTCCAGGGGAAAGAACAGGAATTAATCCCTTTTTCCATTTCCTCCTCCCCAACATAGTGCAATATTATCTGCTGGTATGTATCTGAACAAAAAGAGAAACCTGAAAAATTTCTGCAGGAAAAATCCTAGGTGGTTCCAATTATTTTGAGGGAATATTAAGGCTTTGAATTCCTTGGGCAGTTTCACAGCAGAAAACTATCTGCCCCACTGCCATGTCACGTGCCCTGAGTAGACAGTCTGAAGCTCTGTATCATCTGTGCAAAGTATGCACATGTGGAGAGGTACCCATCCATGTACTTCCATGAAATCAGTTCTGCTCCTGTAATTCAGGCATAAAAGAGTCAGCACCTAATGGCATCTGTGAGGCAGAACGGACTTTCAGTTGGCTGGTAAGTACAGCATCATGAATACTGGGAAACAGCAAGTCTCTTTGGGTAGGCTTGTCAAAGAACTGCAGTCTAACAAGATTGTCCATAACAGACCCTGCAAGGGGGTAAAAAAACATACACATTTATAACAGTGAAATGGACGATAGAAACCAGAGCAGTGTCACCATGAACAAATATGCTTACCATTGCAGCCAGTTATATACACTGAAATGCCAATGTCTTCGTATTCTTTTATGATCTACAGCAGAGCAGAAATTAACTCGTGGTTAACGTTCTGTGTCTAACAGCCCTCACAATCAGCATACAACAAGAATAAGATGTTTTTAAAAGCCACTGTTGAAAGATTATTTCTCTTTAAAAGGCTGTCTCTTTCCTACAACAAAATACAAGTTTTCTGGTGCTCCAGCACAACTAATTTGGGAAATATACTTTTTGAAAATTACCAAGGAAATACTTGGATTCTATAAAGAAAGGAAAAAATGTTAAGGCAGTAATCCCCAACACTGTGCCTGCCAATGGGTTCCTTGGAGCCCATCTGATTCTTTCCCAAAGCAAACAGCCAGTCCTGGTTGTCCTTCCTCTAATTGGTGAAAATGTTTCTCACTAAGTTTGGGGGCCTCTGATCTAAGGACATGAAACAGCCAGAAGATTTCTGGCTCAAGCTCTGAGGTTATGCAGGACAATGTGCTAATCATGCCTTGGGCCCTTCAACCTGGAACATGCGACAGCATTTTCTTTTCTGTAAATGCCTTAAAAGTCACAATATGGGGAGGGAATGACAGATGTTACGTACTGATTTTAAGGTTTTTACTCCAACTGAATCTACAAAGTTCACTGGTGAAAAATCCAAAATGATGGACTGTATGTTGATCCCCGGCTTCATAAAATGTTCAAGTTCATCAGGAGAAGAGTTCTGTGTTGTGGCTTCTGTGGCTGAGACTTTTCCATTGACTGACAGTTCATCCTTCGGCATTTCTTGTTTCATGCCATTTTCTACATCATCACTAGTCTGAGGGAGAACAAAATCAGACTTTAATACAGGCATCTTTTAAAACAACTTCTAATTTCCATTTCTGAAGATTAATTTGACTTCAGAAAAAACGACTAAAACAGGGCTGATCTACAAATCTGGAGTAGAAAACTCATTCTACTCAAATATTTATACGCAGAGATATGTCACAATGGTATTTCTTGATCTATGTATAACCAAAAAACTACCCTGTCCCAAACCTTTTGCTGATATTTGGGATCAGTCCACTGATGATTTTGAGATAGAAGAGTCTCCACAAATTATCTTTTCCTTCCAATAACCACACAGTGAATTGTGTGGAAGATGCCACTCCTTCCATGTAGAATCATAGAATTACAGAGTTGGAAGGGGCCATACAGCCCATCTAGTCCAACCCCCGCTCAATGCAGGACCAGCCTAGAGCATCCCTGACAAGTGTTTGTACTGCCAGTGAGGGGGAGCTCACCACCTCTCTTAAGCAGTTGACTCCACTGTTGAAAAAGCATTTTTCCTAATATCCAGCTGGCACCTTCCAGCCCTTAATTTAAACCCATTATTGCAAGTCCTATCCTCAGCTGTCAACAGGAATAGCTCCCTGCCCTCTAAGTGACAGCCCTTCAAATGCTTAAAGAGAGCAGTCACGTCCCCCCCTCAACCTCCTCCAGACTAAACATTCCCAAGTCCCTCATAGGGCTTGGTCTCCAGGCCCCCGATCATCCTCTTCGCTCTCCTCTACACCCGCTCCATTCTGTCCACATCCTTTTTGAAATAAGGCCTCCGGAACTGCACACAATACTCCAGGTGCAGCGTACAGTGGAACTATGACAGCTTACTATTTGGATGTTATGCCTCTGCTGATACTCCCCAAGGCTGCATTAGCCTTTTTTGTCACTGCATCACACTGGCTGCTCATATTTAACTTTCGGTCCACCCGTATCCCAAGATCTTGTTCACACACACGCTGCTACTCAGAAGTGTATCCCCCATCCAGTATGCGTGTTCCTCATTTTTGTTACCCAGATGTAGAACTTGGCACATCCTTGTTAAATTGCATCTTGTTCACATCCACCCACTTTTCCAGTGTGTTCAGATCTTGTTGAATTCTATCTCTATCTTATGGTGTGTTCACTGCTCCTCCACTTTTTGACATGTTGGAAAATCACTGTGGTGTGTGTAAGCTTGCATTTTCATAAGATAATGAATTATCTTTCCACTCGTGGTTGTGTGAATCAGCCAATAGTTTCTCCTTATTTCAAAGAAGGTTTTTATAGATCTCAGGTTTCCAAAAATGTAAACTTGTGGTCCTACATTCATGCTTTTTGGATGTTCATGAATTTTTGTATTCATGAAAGTTTATGCTGGAATACTGTTAGTCTTTACGGTGCTGGTGGATTTCTGTTTTACTTTTGGAGGCCTTCCTTAAACATCCAGGACATCATTCGGTAAGACCAACAAGCGCAAGTGAAGTGACACCACAACTTTATGTTGCCCTCTGAGGGATACATGCTCTGGTAATCAAACCAAGATTTAGTTTTGATAGCCATCTTAGGGCTGATTCTCGATTTCTTAACTGTAGCTAATGAGAAATATGCCACGCTTACCAGTTTCAAGACTGCTTTCTTCTCACGTTTATGCAGTTGCTTTAGTTCCTTGACATGTCTTTTCTGGGCTTTCTTCCTTGCGGCCAATATTGCACAGGCATCGACACCAGTCTACCACAGAAAGAGAGGCAAGCTCAGTCTGATCAAAGATTCACAGGCTCAAAGGTGGTGCTCTTGCTTAAAGCCATAAAACAATTGTTAATCTTTAAAGTGTTGCTTTGCAAACATAGCAAAATGTATCTCATATGGCTTAGAGCTGCAACATGTGATCAAAACATGCATGTGATGCACATATGTCTGGACTGTTCCTCTTTCAGGTGGTTGGTGAGAAATGCCTGTCTTAAAGCCTAGGATCCAAGGGTTGATTGAGATACTGTAATAACCCTGGTGTAAGCTGAACCAAGTGGCCCTTGACAGAGTCAAAATGGCTTAGAACCAGGTTGTGGTGAGAATTACAAGTGGACTAGGCTACATCAGTTGTCTTCACCGATGCAGGCTGCGTTCCAGACAAGTGGACACTGTGGCTCTGCTAACACCTCAAGGGATTCTTGAATCTGCTTGTTCCTGGCCACCAGAGACCTACACCCTGTAGCTTGGAATGTTCCAGAGACCCTCCACAGCAGTGGCCCACCGGGAACTTGCCCACTAAGTTAAAGCCCCAGTTCGCCCCTGGTCATGACCAGTGTTCCCTCTAAGCTGAGTTAGTGTGAGCTAGCTCACAGTTTTTTAGCCCCCCAGCTCACATATTTTGGTCTTCGCTCAGGAAGGATGGCTCCAGAGCAAACTAATTTATGCAGTAGCCAAATCGCTCACTCACAACTTTAATGCCAGTAGCTCACGAAAAAGAATTTTTGCTCACAAGACCCCACAGCTTACAGGGAGCATTGGTCATGACACTGAAAAGATGAGGTTTAGAAAGCTGAAGCATCAACTCCTGATCTGTGGAGAGGAAACACATTCCAATTTGTCCAGGTGCCTGCATTTGGACCTAATGGTGAACTGGATCCTAGGCTTCCCTAGGGTGGTTTAATCATGCACTGTGCATAAGGGGAGGAAGGAAGGGGCAGTGGACTATGCAAGCACTACTGATGGCAGCCAGAATATTGGAATGCTTCTCTGTCTAAAAATAAAAGAATCCTGCTGTGTACTAGACTATAATTCTAGGCTAGCATTCTCCCAAACATACTACATTTGTATATGAAGGGAGGGCATTTTGCCTTTTTATAATTTTTAAAGATAGAGGAGTTTTTAAACATTAAATTGCCCAGTCCATCTGTGGACTGGGGCAATATAGTCCAGCAACTGATAAACTGCACAAGTCTTCCTTTTGTTTTAAATGTAAATTTTCAGCAGGACAGAGGAATTGGGGGAACTCACCTTTTTCTTCAGTGCACTGACATACAGGTCACTGTTGGCAAAATACAGTGAGGAGTTTGCCTGAAATATTTTGATTCCTGGGCATTCTTTCACCTAAGGAACAAAGGGGGGGGGGGAAGTAAGCACTCCTTTCACAGCTTGTGTTGGTATTTCTGCCAAACAGAACTTCCATGAAAGGCACCATCATCCTGGAATATACCGTGTATTGGACCAGAAAGCAATGTGTATGAAGGTCCCAGATTATTGTTTCCTTAACACCAGACTTCCTGAGACGGAAGGTGTAAGGGAAAGGGGTGATGAACCATAAAATTACACTCAGCAGCAGAATTTTGCAGGTATCATCTCTAAAGAGTAACCATTAGGGCTGACAACTGCCTGGAGGGGGAAAAATCCCATCCCTTTAATAGATTCTTAATGTGTGAAAATGGGCAGCTGAGACTTTTGACAGCATGGAGGTATTTAACATCACCTGGTAAATAACATCCTATTAAACCATTACTAAAGGGACATTTTTTCCTCTAGACAACTGGCAATCCTACTGACCATTGTTCTTCATCAAAGCAGTCCCTCCCCCAAAGTTCTCTACTTTGTGGCTTCCTGCAGTCCTTCTCCAATGGGATCCTCTAACAGAATTCTGTCTGTCTTCTGACCTTGCAGTTGACCTAGTTCTTTCTAGATGGCATCACTGGCCCCAACTAAAAATCTAGCATATTGGGGAGAAAAATTCTATGCCAACTACATCCCTGCTGTGCTAGTTACCTACAGAGAGCTTCTAATGTAGGGGAATACTACCAAAAACATGATTCTCCACCTGCCATCTAATATGGTGTCCTTTCTACCACCTCTTCATTGTATTACAAGGGCATATCAGGCCTGAAGTGTGGCAGACAGCAGAGTAGGAATTTAGCTCACAATCTCAGTCCATGGAAAATGTGAAGCATAGGGAAAAGTCTACCAACATGCACAAGAAAAAGCCACTCCATGGCACACACAAACACACTTGCTGAATTCCCTTCTGATCTCCACTCGTGGTTCAAGTTACTCCCTGGTTGTAAATACAGACAGCTGCAAGTTCCTTCCTGGCCCACTTACCCTGACCATGGCTTTCCATGTAGGGGTCTAGACTGGTGTGAACAGAATTTAACTCTCATGAGATAATCGATAGGAGGAGGACAGGAGGATCCTAAAGGAGTTTCTTATGGTTCCCCCTTCCCCACTTTAATCTCCTCCAATGTTAAATTCTCATGATGATGCTGACTCTCATCTGCCTCCTAAGAAGCGTAAAGATACCTAATGCCATCCTACCTCTTCATACTCTTCCACATCACAGTAAATGTCCGTATCATGAATCTGGCCAAGGATTCTGTACTGTGGACTGTAGAGAAATATAAGCAAAAGTGATCACGGTACTGACAGACTACATAAAAGCAATCTCTCTGTCAGGAACTGATCTAGGGCATAACCTCTTTGGAAGGCCCACTCAAGATAGGGGCCAGTTATCCAAAAAGAATGACCCATTCCCGGGGGGGGGGGGGGGAGGCGGCTCAAGTACCAAAGCAAACTGAGAAGGGAGAGGGACATGAGGCAGAAGGTGTATAAGGAATGATTAGGCCACTAAGGAGGAAGCAACAGGCAGGAATTAGGCCTGAGATGGGAGGTTAACAGGGTTAGGATGGCCAGAGGGTACAGGCCAGGCAAGCTGAGGACAGCACTGTTAACATTCTCCAGGTGAGGTAGGCCCCCCCCCCCCCCCCCCCCCCCCCCGCCCCCGATTACTTAGATCTTTGGACTCTGCTGCAATTTACATATATTGTGTGCTGCTCTGGGGACTTTTGAGCAAAGTAGGATACCAACCAAATCCATATAAAAACCAATTAAATAGCCCAGGAAACATATTAACCCCCACCCACAGGATCCCCATCTTCATCAACTGTGTGCCTATTGCAGTGTTTGAATATAGTAATCCAAGCAGGTTTTTCTGCTCGAGGACAGTTCGTTCAGCAAAAGTCAAAGGAGCAAATAGCAAAGCAATTTTAAAATTAAGCCTCTTTGACAGTCAAATTCCATCAACTAATCGAAAATCCCCCAATTACAAAGAGAAATCTCAGTCCCGGCTTTATAAAAATAACAAAAGTACTCGAGTCTATATAAAACTGTACAATACTATCAATGACAGAAAGAAAAATGTCAGTTTTCACAGGCAGACAACTTGGCTCATAGAGTCAAAGGTATTTTTCTGTGACAGATTTAACTTGCAACTGAGCTCACCTAAGACTGTTTTGCTCCTACCTTTCCTTCTGGATCTCTTGTAAGAAGCTTGCTTTAACTGGAGGTTTCCTTGAATGCAACTATTAAAAGGCACTCAAAGAAGAAAGAGGACCTTGCTATTTCCTGGCTGTTTGCAGCACTATAAGCTTTCCCCTTTGTTAGGAATGAAAACTGGGTTTATATGAACTCCCAAATGCCACTTTTACTATAATGTCTGGGCTGAGATTCAGGTCACAGCAATGACTCTGCAAATACTTCTCTGATGAAGCAGAAGTCCCATTTCTTCATAATGTGTCTGACAAACGCTAACATTAAATTGGGCATTTGTTAAGCAACTTTGAGAAAGAAAGAAGGAAAGAGAAGAAAAGAAAGAAAAGTTTTTCCCCAAAAACTGATCTAAAAAAAATTGTCAGGGTGGTTACTATACTGAATTATTGCTCTCTTTTGTATTTTGGTTAGTCTTTTATATTATTTTTAATTCAGATGTCCTTTCAAAGCCTGGCAGACCTGTGCAAATGTTTGCTTTGTCTAAGGGTTATCCTTAGTGACATACCTCAAATTACTCCAGCAGGGGGCAGAATTCTTTGGGAGCTGTTCAACCAGTGACAAGCACAGCCAGTTACCTTGGCAGCCATCTTGATGTCCATCATCTTTCTAACAATTGTGTTTTAACTATACAACTGTGCTACTGGATTGAAGACTCTCTGCTTTATAAAACAAGAGCTGAACTGAATTTTGCTGTAGACACATGTGCAGTTGACCCAGAAGGAGATAATTTCTTTTTTACTCCCCCCACAACAGTTTTGATAGGAGAATAGGGGGGAAACAGTTCGCCTCACCTTTGTGTTCTGTATACGATGGTAATCAGTGCAAAACCTACAGCCGTGAGCAGACCATAGTCCAGCCCCAGGAAAACTGAGCCCAAGAATGCTACAATCCAGATAGCCTAAACATTAAAAAAAAAATCAAAATATCTAACCAGCTGTTTACAGACCTCTACTTTTCTATAGTCCCAAAGAGAAGGGTGGTCAGGCCACATCAAACAAAGACACCAAGGACAACATGAAAGAGATTACAAATGTCAGCATGGTCAGACTGAGGCATTTCCACATCTTGCTTCCAAAAAAAAAAAGGTGGGGGTGGGAGAGACCAACTCAGGGCCTAAACAGTGACTGGATGGATGAAACCCTAGCACAGACCATCACATACTAATGCCGAATCTGTTTGCTTACCTCAAATCTAGCTGCTTGAAGACATCTTCACAATACATGAAATACATTCCTAATTGTTCCTATAAACAGCACCATGAGGAAATTTTCCAACGTGTTGCATTTTTGCTGTCTCTCAGTTTCTAACACTGCAATTCCAAGAACCCTTTCCTGGAAGGAAGCCCCATTGAATAGAACTGAGTAGGATTCTGAGTAGACGTACTTAGGATTGCTCTCTAAATTAAGTAAGCATTTCCCTTCTCAAATAGCATTACAAAAGAACAGGTCATCTCCAGCAACACAGAGGATACATGACTCCAAGCTTAATTTGGATTGGAGAAATGCTTGTGCTTGGTCCTTCTAAATCTCCTGCAGGCTGCTTCAGGGTGGCAAGAGTTCTTAAAAAAACTTGCAGCATCCTGGATTGAGGGAGTGGATAGAAATAAGGGTTGTGAGGTGGTACCTCAGCATATACCACCAATTCTGTGCTGCCAGATGCTTTAACCATACCTGTTGTTTCTCTGGTCATTTACAAACAACCTCTGCTCTGCATTCTGATAACGGTAGGCCTCACCCTGGCCAACAAGTGTGGGCAAGTCACCCATGGACCAGTTATTCAGAGAGAAGGGGACCCCTGGAGGCCAGATGGGGATACTATTCTTTGTTAAGAATTGCCAAGAGAAGGAAGCAAGCAAAGTGTGTTCACTAGACAGATGCAGCCTTACAAATAGGGTTGCCAAATCCAAATTGTCTGGGAGCGGGGGGCTCCCGGACGGCGTCCTCTTCGTGCGCATGCGCACCGCGTGTGCATCACCCGGAAGAGACGTCACACGCTGGGGGCGGGGCCACACCATTTGAGGGGAAAACGAAGAGTTTTCCCCTCAAATGGTGTGGCCCCGCCCCCAGCGTGCGACGTCACTTCCGGGTGATGCACACGCGGGGGTGGGGTTTCCCCCGGGCCCCGATTCCATGGGAGCGGGAATCGGGGCTCGAAACCGGGGGGAATTCCGCCCCCCGGGGCGGGTTGGGAACCCTACTTACAAAGCCTATAATTCATCTCCTGTATATTTTATGCCTTATTCTTCTCAATCTCATTACACTTACTCCTTTTGAGGTCTAGAACTTACTTCTCCTTCCCTTTGATTCTTCCAGAGCAAGTTCCTCTGTATGAGCAGAATACTGGACCACTGCACAAAATTATCAGTTGTTTTGCAAAAAACATTAAAGGCATACTTTGATTTGCATGAACTCACTCACTAGTTCAATCTTGCTGGTTCTCCAGAAGTGAACAATATCTCCAAACTGTTTGAACATGCCTTTCAGATTGACCATTACAATGGCTGCAAGCACGGCCTAGAAAAACATAATGGGCAAACTTTTACTTTCTGAATTCCTTTCAAAACTGAATTGATGTGCAAATGTTATGTAAACCAAAAGAGAGGAGGTCTATTGGTATGTGTGCTTTCATTACATACATTACTAATTCAGACAGCCCTACTCTACACCCCCCTCCTGGAAAGAGGAATAACGATGTTGCCTCATTAAATTCTAGCTTCTAAAACAGAGATTTGTGCCAATTTACTGAAACAGCAGTCCAATGACCTGTCATCTTTATTAGAGAACTTTGTACCGCTCCAGTTTCTCTTCTGGATTCCATCATTTAAGTAATCTACGGCCAGTATTGATCCATGGAACGTACATGGAAATAAACTTTACCTCTAGTTTCTTTGACACACTATTTTCCAAGTCTTTTGCCAAGCCTCTTGTGAAATTCTTCCAGCTCCCGCAATCTGTAGACTAACCAACCTGAAGGGCATAACCACTAACATAACTGAAAACCACCTCTCCTAATATGTTCCCATGCACCTATCGCAGTCTTCTGGCTGCCACCATCTAGTTGTTCCTCTGCTTAAAGTTGGCCACCTGGCATCTCCAAGAGCTCGTTCTTTCTTTATTGCAGCTCCCATCTTTTGGAACAGACTCCCTAAGGATGCGAGGGGGGGATACCATCTTTAAGAGACACTGGAAAGACATTTCAGTTGCAATGGATTTTAATGAGGTTTAAGTTGCAAGCATTATTGGGGGGTGGGTAGTCGGGGTTTTTTTTAATATATTTTACAGATTCTTTTGATCTTAGGGTTGTAAGCTGCCTTGGGCCACAGGGAAAGACACACTGGCACTTGGCATGAGGGTTCCTTCTACTCTGAGGAAGGGAGGGCATCTTAGCATAGGTGATTCCCTCAATCAGTTAAGGAGGCAGGTCTTAGTTTCAAATATCCTGTCCCCAGTGGTGGGGGTCACCGTACTCTCAGTTCAGGTGCTCCCCAAACCGTATAATACCTTCTCCTAAAGCTCAGAGAGAAAACTATAAAAGGTTGAACATACTGGGATAAATACTGCACAGCTCTGAACCCAAAGGGACACTGAATGAGAAGACAGGAAGACCATTAGCCATGTAATAGAAATATATATCTGGAGACAGACGGACACATGGTCGGCCCAAATTGCCCCCTCCCTTACTTAGAGCAGGACAAGATATGTCCCCTTCCTCAAAGCAGAAGGAACGCTCGTGGGAAGTGTCGATGCATTCAGATGGGTAGCCATGTTTGTCTGAAGCAATAGAACAAAGTTTGGGTCCAGGGGCACCTTTAAGGCCCACAAAGTTTAATTCTGGGTATAAGCTTTCATGTGCACGCACACGTCATCAGATACCAATAGTGCTAATGTTTTTTTCTCACTCTGAGGGGGAGGACATCTCAGTATGGACTGTCCAAAAGCAGTTACTTCCACGGCAGATGGGGGGTGCCTGACCTGTTTTGTTTGAAAAATTAATGGAGAAAAGACAAAAACTGCTTCTATTTGGCACATAACAGGTATATATGATTAATGTCAGGACTGTATTTGGACTGGGCCTTTGTAGTGATTTTTAAGTATATTTGGAATAACTACTTGATTTATCATACCTGGAACCATATAAGCATCGAGATTTTTCCATGGAACGACCCTATTAGAAGTGTGTTTCCATTTAGGAGATTATACCTATCTGGATTAGTTCCTGGGTTATAGTTACTAAGTTTAAATAATCATTGTGTAAGTAAGGATTATGCTATAATAAGTATTTTTACTTATGGCAAGACTAATGATCTGGCCTCTGTTAGCTGCCCTGAGCCCACTGGGGAGGGCGGGATACAAGTGTAAAAATAAAATAAAATAAGTAAATAAATATAATGGTGTTCCATGAGATCCTTCAGGAAGTGATAAGTTTCTGGTACGATTTCTTAATGGTTTAATACTTTATACATATTATTGAAAATGATGATTTTATAATTACTTTATAACATAAGTATTGAGTCCAGTTCATCTCTTTAAAGCATTACTTTATTCTCAAGTGCATTTAAAAGTGGTGGTATCTCATATGGTTTCAGCCTCTAATAATTTTGTTAATCATTTACACCTTTAAGAATGAGATATTCAACATACAGCTGCATGGAATCTATTAGAATAGTTTTCTTTATAGACTAGTTCCAGATTGCTGTAGAGAGCATCTTGCCAGCCAAATTTAAAATTTAGAAGGCTTTCAGCCGGTTAGAAAAGAAGGACTGGTTTGCTCCTAATATAAATTTTAATACAGTGAATGAAGAGCTTTTAAGCCAGCAAAATCAAGGAGGCTTTGTGCACCTATTAGAGAAGACAAGACTGGCTTGCTCCTAATTTAAACACTTGTAAAGCAACTAGGCCTGCCAAATCTCACCAAATCGCGGTGGGGGATCTGCATGTCTTTGCAGAATCCTTACTGTGGGGACGGCGAGATGTGTTGCACCACCGTCGCCAGGACATGACGCTATACGTCGCTTTGGCAACGGGGCTCTGGGGTTACAATCTGATTTCACCTGTATGAAACATACACATAAGAAAGCTCTTACCTGCGGTAATGGTTCAAAGAGGTAACCAATGGCTACAATGACCAAAAGGACCATGACTGAGGACAAGGTGCCAGCAATCTGAACAAGAGACACACAAAGCACATGTCTACTGAGCATCCTGACAAGGGTGTCCCAATCCCACACACTCTTCTCATTGTTTTTCCTATACTTCTTTTAACCTGATAAAATCTGTTCAGTTGGTCAGTATCTGGGGCGCAAACAGAGACAAGCAGCCTTGGATATCTTAATCAGCAATTCTGAGACCCAACATGTGGGAGTGGGGAAAATGTTGGATTGGAGAAATCTGGATTCAAATTCCCACTCGGGATGGCTGTGAGGGAAGGCTATGGTCCAAATGAAAAAAACCCTAATGCTACATACCTGAGTTTTCCCTCCAGTGCTCTCCTGGACAAGACTCCGAGACATCGAGCAAGTGATAGCAAAAGTCTGGAAAAAGGATCCTACAGAATTACATATGCCTAATGCAATCAGTTCCTATGGCAAAAGGAAAGAACAGAATACATTTACACTGTCAAATTATTCCAAAGATGGTACATATATTATCTATGATATGCTAAATTATTGAAAAAGACCTGCATAAAAAATTCAACCCCTGAATCCAACAGAATACAAATAAATTTAAGAGGCTGAATCCTGCTAATGGTAGCACCTTCCTCCAGTACAAGATGCTCCCCCTCAATGCAACAGGCTCTTAGTTGAAGAGTCCCTTGGGTCAAGGGAAGGCACCTTCTGGCCAGAGGAAGATATCACCTGCAGTGTAACAGATCTGTGGATCCATCCCACTAAGTTGTGATGAATGCACAAATACTGTATGTCCAAATCTCAATGAAGCTGAAAATGCAGGTGGCCCCAAACTGGGACTTGTAAACAAGGACCTTGGGCTATTAGATCAGCTTAATCAGATGAAACACGTAGTGTAGGGAGAATCTATCCATTCAAAGTAGCATAGGGAGAATCTATCCATTCTTCTTTTACCAACTTGTGAAGAGGCCTTGAAGTGAAACACAGACGCAGTGCTGATGTAATAATGTTTCAGATCTAGCCACCAACAGGAGATTAGGATGTCATATGTACACTTTGAAATACAGAAGTGTGGCATATTTCTGGTATATGAGCTGTAGACATCAACAGCCTATTGGGCAGATGCTCCACTAATTTCAACTGGCTTTTGATCAGACAGGGAGAAAAACATGGATATTAAAACAAACTTGCCTGATTTCCATCAACAGTATAACCATGTTTAAGAGCAAATATCTTGGCCATTGAGATGGTCATGGAAAAACCAACTATAGCTATTGCTATTGCATCTACAAAAACTGATGGTATAAGGTGGATATCGGGTACTTCTGGAGGACGTAACCTGCAAGCAACAAGAGAGAAGACAACAACGTAACAGCAATACTCAACTACATCATCTTAAGATAATTTAATTGCTAATACTTAGCTTACCCTTTGGGGATATTTCCAACTACATCCACTCCATAGGTCTTCGACAGATCCATTCCAAATGAAACACCAGTACCAATTACAACCTTTAAAACACACACACACAAACACTTGGTCAAGTAACAAAAGAGAAGCTAACTTCACTTGGGATGTTTCAACCAAGGGTTTAAAACGGAACACATGAATGTATTCCACACTAACCACTATGATCTCCATTGGGATAGGGACGGGCAGCTTCTTTTTAAAGCGGTCATTGATTTCCTTCCCGCTCAGCAACAAAACCATGCAAATCAGTCCCACAATTAAAGCTGCAACGTTGGTTGTGGTGATGTTTGAAAACACAGCAATCAAACCCTGCAATACAAAATGTGGGAAGCTGTTCATGTATGAGACAGTCAAATCAGAAGTCAGTGATTATACCACACATGGACTGTGATGTCAGATGAGGAATTCAGCACCATGAAAGTCTTGGCTCCCCATCTTAAATCAAGTTCGTTTCTAGTCCTTATGAGTGCTAACACAGGCCTGGAAATACATGGATAATGCTCATGAAACCTCAAAAACCAGAGGAAGCCAAAGAGGATTTTTGTGGTCAATGGATCAGGGCATACAGTCTCATGAACAGAAGCTTCCCAGGAATAACAGAAGTACAATTAACTTTGCAGTGAGGACAAATGTATGCACTTTTTCTTAGTCTGCAATAACATTTAATATAAAATATACCTACACTAATCTAATGATAGGTATCTATGCTGATCGCAAACCTGCAATAGAGAAGCTCAGATTCAGATCAGTACATCTCACTTAGTACTGAAAGCATTGATCCAGAGTTTCTTGCAGTGCAGAAGTTGCTGAAGCCAGCCCAGGCAAGGCTTTTAACTTATGGATACAATGAACCACAAACTCTCAGCTACATTATACTAACATGGTCAGAGCACTGACAGCTCCTGAAACACTGTCATTAGCCAACTCTCCAGAGTGACTGCAAGAAGAAGAGATTAGATTTATACCCTGCCCTTCACTCGGAGTCTCAGACCCTCCCCACAACAGACACCCTCTGAGGTGGGTGGGGCTGAGAGAACTCTGACAGTAATTACTCTTTCAAGGACAGTTCTTGTCAGAACTATGGCTTACCCAAGGTCATCTAGCAGCTGCAAGTGGAGGAGTAGGGAATCAAACCCGGTTCTCCCAGATTAGAGTCCGCACACTTAACCACTACACCAAACTGGCAAGCCTTACCAGACAGTCACATCTGCTTAAAAGTGCATGAACAGACCTGCAGGCCTGGAGTTGCCATGAGGCCTTTAGAGTTATTGTACCAGTGAGTTCATTTACCAAGTAGCAGTGATCTTGCCTGCAATCAGACATGGGATAGCAAGAGAAAAGCATGCAGAACATGATGTATTAAATGTGTCCCCCGTGAGTTTTTGCTCCCCAGCATTTCAGTTTGAATTTTTCTTGGCCATGTTACAAATGCAAGAATCAAAACCACTACACGCAAAAACTCCTAAAATTAAAAAAAAGGATTTTAAAGCCACAAGGTTTATTCAGGATATTTATTAATTAAAATATTTATGGCTTGCTTTTCCCCACCTACCTAGAGGATCACCTTGAGTAGAGGAACAACTAGAAGGTGGCAGCAAGACAGCCACAGTTGGATCACGGGGCCATATGGGAGAGAGATTATGATCTAGCACATGACAATCAAAGAAATGAGATGCTTAAATCCCTTACAAGACCCACAGTTATTAAAATAAATATCTTGACTCTATTTTTATTCTTAATTGATAAAGTCATTGCACATAACGTCCAACTTATGCTAAATGCTGTTGTGGGATAATAAAAAGTCTATAAAACAAATGGCTACTTAAATAAGAATTACTTTGTTTAGATCAGATGAAAGACTCATCTATGTCAGTTCTCTGTCTTTAACGGTGATTATCCCAGTACCCTGGGAAGTCATTCTCTGTTTTTCATCACCAGTTTCTAGACTCAAAAGTATGGTAGCTGAGGGTCCATATAACTGTCATGTTTGAAGGTTTTCAGCAGTCGTAGCTATTTCAGATTACTGAAAAAGTCTAGTGGTTTTTTTTTAAGGGCACATTTACATTACAAAGCCAAATCAGATCAAATTTGCAGGTTGCCAGGTGGGCTCAACTGAAAAAAAATCCAAAAGCAACAATAACTATTAGGATCAAGTAAACTGTCACAAAGCCAAACTGTCACAAAATTTGCTCACTGCTGTGAGACACCAAATCAAACAAATGGTACCCCTTGCCAATGAATAAAGGGAACTGTGACTCTGTAGGGAGTCAAGCCTCTAAGAAAACTTACAAAGTTAAAAGTCTGAGAAATTCTCCATGAAAGACAACAGAGCAAATTTAAACCTGACTGGAATTTCTCTGTCCTCTTGGACTGTGAATTTGCAGTCTTTCTAACTTCAGTCGGCTTTAATTGCTAAGCAATGCTCTGATCACATGTGTTGACACTGTAACTTACATAAAGGCTTGAAAGGGGTCCACTGAATCTTTTTGTCTTGATTCCAAGAAGATACTTCAACTGGGAGGTAAAGACATGCACAGCTGCAGCAGTGGTGAATCCCCGTACCAGGGGCTCTGTGAGGTAAATAGCTACAAATCCAAAACGAAGGAGACCTAAACACAACTGACAGAAAGATGGAAGGGTCATATATGATGAATTTACCATTGTTATCTGAAGCACTTTTAAGGCCAGAACAGCTCAGAAGTTGCTGGTTTAGCACACACTTTCAACACATGGAGCAGGCATGAGCTAGTTTCCATTTATGTTGTTTTAAGTTGTCTTAATTGCTTTTATCTATCTTTTATATGTCTGAATTTTTTGATGTTTCTGATACTGTGTCGTGATCTGCCCCGAGCCCGCTTGTGGGGAGGGTGGAATATAAATTTTAATAATAAAATAAAATAAATAAATTAAAAGTTCTTTCTTTTCTCCCTATTGTTGGAAACATGCAAGCCTCCTCCCATGACTCCTAGCTCAAATACTGAAGACTGCTGGTACTATCAGATCTAACATATGCTTGTTTTTGCAAGAAGTAATGGGGA